GAAACGTTAACTGTGTGTATACCACACCCCTCGCTGAAGAACTGTCAGCACCTTGCTCTTGCAGACTACACAGCGCTGTGCAGGTCCGACTTCCTCCCCAGCTGGCACTGGTGTGGGGCGCCCTTGCTCTTCAAAGGCTCATGTCCACTTGCTTCCAGCACTGATGCCCAGGGAGCCAGACCACACGGCGCCCAGTATTTCCACAGCACGTTCTTTCCTCCCTTCATCAAGAGCTCACGTGTTCTCTCCTAGATCCTGCTTACCGGGCATTAAACACGAAGGAAATGCCCAACATTTCCGTGTCGTGTTCTCGTTTTCATCCATCCCTATATTCCTGGAGTGGTCACGTCACTTGAAAATGCAGTGTTTAGGTAGGAAACACCTCACATTAAGAAAGGTCAAAGTGTTCTCTTTTAAAACAAATTTAACAAGAATTGCTTTGAAAAAATATAAATTAACTTTTGGTTTAGAGGAAATACGTATGAAGTAATACTTCCCAAACCGTGACACCGAAGTCCTACTGTGTCCTAGTATCGCTCCTCCAGAACACACCTAAGACCGTCAGATCCACTCCGCTGCGGGCATCCATTTCTAGTGTGGGGTAAGTCTCATTTCAAGAAAAGTTTTTCTCACCTTGCAGAGCAGACAGACAAGGGTGTTTTCTCTGCTGTCAGTCAGTCAGCACGTGTTTCCTTACTGAGGCCGAGTGCCGCGCAGAGGATCTAGCCTCAGCCCTTGCTCTCACGAGCTTATGTTCTGCTGGGGTTAACTGCTGTAAACAGCATGGAAACGTGGGAGGACGACACGTAAACCAAGAAATAATCAAAGGATACACATAGTAAACAACTTAGAGAATTTATTTGGAAAGTTAAAGAAAAAGCATGATTCTAACATTTATTTAAAATATAAACAAAATTAGAAAAGGTTTAGCTACAGGGAAGAAGGCAGGTTTAGTTGGCTAAATACAAACAAGCAAAACCCAAGTTTCTTCCATGCAAATAAGCATCGAGAAAGTGTGGGAATGTTTACAGGACAGGCCGCAACCATTTTCTTTTGTAATTTACACAAGAAAACTGTACAGAAATGAAAAAATAAATTAGGCATATACAAGAAATGTTTTACAGGTTACACAGGCTATGACTTACTTTATTATGCATAATATCCATAGCACATTATACATTTTTACACCATAGATTCAGTGTTAGAATTCAGACATGACAGAGCTTCTTGACAATAATGAAACAGACAAAATAAGGCAATTTACACTGAAATGGCATGTAATAGCAAAATTAGCCTCAAACTGAAAGGACTCCCTAGATTGGGACATAAAATCATCTCCTAATTATAATTTGGTCAACAACTGGGCAGAAGATAAAATGCCATTCGACTTCAATTAAAAAGTCTTGTTGAGTTCAAATAAAAACTGAAAGCACACCACATATCAAAAACGACAGGGCTGGCCTGTACAGTGGTTGAGCCCTGGGCATAGGGAGCCAGATCCCACATGGCTGACAGAGGTGTGAAACCTGACCCCAGTGGCTTGAAAAATACACTGGACCCGTGTGCGTGTGCCCAAAGTCCTGATGGGACGGGGAAATGGAGGAAAAGGATTGCAGCAGGCTACACCCCACTCGGGGCTGTTTTCTCTCTCTGGCAATTTCATGTGCCCTCTGGACTAAAAACATTAAAACGACAAAATCATCTTGACATCACTTATATCCAATACCATGAATTATATCTGAGATGAAACTAGGACGCTGGTGTTAGGTCTGTAAAACTATCCCGTGTAAACTGTGAGAGGCCGGCCACTCAGGAGAGTTCCACATTTCAAAATGGCTGAGCACTCAAGACAACCACTGACTGACCAAGTGTGGTATTTAAATAAAGTTCAAACATGATAGAAAGTGAAAATAACCTGCAAGTATTTTACCTTATTTTTGTATACTTTACAAATTACATAAAAATTGCAATGTTTTCTTTGAAAGCTACTAAAACTATAAGCACTATAATATATAAAATATAAAGATGAATAGCACTAGCAAAAAAAAAAAAAAAAAAAAAAATCCTAAAGGCATTTAAAAATTCCAAAACCTTGATTCTGAAGCACATTTAATCCTTTGCAAAATATCATTTCTCATTAGTTCTTCTGAACACGAAATTAGTGCCAGTTACAGCAAAGACTGAAAATCTGAAAGAAAAATGATCTTTTATCTACAGAGGGAGCTAAAAGGTAAAGACTTAGATTTTCTTAAAGGAAAAAAACCAAAGATTTCCTCCTCAAAGTATCATTCGGCACTAATCGCAGCCCCTGGAATCCCAGCAGCAGCTCCCTGCTACGCTAAGTCGTAAGGGAGAATGTCAGACATAAGCCCATCTGATCATTCTAAGACAATTGAAAGAAAAAATAGCATTTTAGGTCTTCAGCATATCTGCTGTGGAAATGACCATAAGCCACGATATTTCAACTTGCTTGCAAGAAATTCTGTTTTATAAATTTTGCTGTGAATTGTGTTTGTCGAAAGCAACACGTAATCCCAAGAGTTCAACCCATTGTCTACCCCATTTGCAATGAACAGGAAAAACCAGCAAAAGGGGTCACTAAAAATCTCAAATATGTCTAATACTCCATTATCTATAAATCTAGGAGGCTTTCATTTTTTTGTACAACGAAAAAGCTATAATAATGCCCATATAATTTTGAAGTTAATGCAGTAAAAATTCCAGATACCTTTACAAATTAAATTAAATGTACATTAATTAATATGTATATAAACCCTTCATATTACTTTGAAGTACTACTACTTGGTCATTACAGTAACATAATATACGAGAGAATAACTGAGACGATTTCATTGGTTTGGTGAGACTCCAAAACCTAGTACCTATTAACATATGTCAATAAAACTCATGTAACAACTACAAAAGTATTACATAAGCACTAAAAATTAACCCTAAAACATGACACCAAAGATATGAAAAAAAATTCTAACCACCCCACGTACTGCCGTGAGTGAAGCCGCTC